CTTGGCCACCCTAACAAAAGAGCCATTCAAAGTAAGTGTTTTAAACAATCCCATGAAGCACAGTTTAAGCCAGAGCAAGCCCAAACCCACAGGAGTACATTAAGCTAATTGAGTGTATTCTCTACCATAAGAGTGGATAGTTAACTGGTAAAAAGACATGGCCAGAGCAGTAACAACTGAATCAAAATGGAAAATCAAAACTTTCTGGGCTAGTACTCTTGTTATCCTGTACTAACCAGACCTTCTGAGGGTTGAAAGATTCCCAGCAATCAGTTTTCAGGAAACAAATGCCCAGGGTAAAGACACTAAGTAAGGTGTTCAGAACCAAGAACTGACTGCTCAAAAGCACAAGTGCCTCAATGTAGCTTGAACTCCAACCACCATTGCCATGTAAGCTTATTTTAGGAGAGAGACCATAATCAGCTATTCCAACCATTATTTACACCAAAGTCTTCCACTTGCCTAGAACAATGATCAGATGGGAGCAGGTGTACATATAAAGGAAGAAAATCTTCTCAGAGATTTGCTATAAAACCAAGGCATTCAAAATTTGAAATACCAGAGTAAGACCTTGCAATGGGAAAAACAGGACACTTGCCCTACTTAGTAGTGAAAGCTTCCATAGGGAGGAGCTAAACTCCTGTCACTTAAAAGAGAATTTTTTTAACCTGCTCTCAGTAAATGTTATAAGCAATTATTTCTTTATCTAACCTAAACTACAAATGAGCACTAGTAAAAGCATAAATTCATTAAGAACCTGATTTTATTGTAATAATCAGCAAAGTAACCTAATTATTTCTGCTTCCTTGTATGCAGAAAGCCTCAGGATTCTTTAAACCAGTTCCCACAGAAATGGAAAAAGAATAAATAAAACAACAAACAAAAAAGTGACAGATACCTACTTATATCTCACTTCTCCCCCTACCTTAGTGTTCAGTAGTAACAAGGATCACTGAATACTGCCTTTTTCAAGGCAAAATCCTGACTACTTAACACCAAGGAGACAACCAAGAAAAAAGCAACAGCTAAGTTTGTGTGCACTCAAACATCATCTACCAAATGAAGCAAATGAAACACTGAGCCAGTCACGAAGGCATTCCCAGCTCCAAGTGACTTGTCTATAAGACAGATTCTCTGTAAATAAATTAGTGCTCTCCTTCCTGCCCATATGGACGGAAAAGGAAAAAACAAATTGACATAATGAAAATAACTCCCCCTTTCCTGTCCCAAGACCTGCCACGTGGGGAAAACCACTAGAAAACAACAGCAAAGTATTAGGTGCAAAAGGAAAACAGAAGGGCCATTGGCACGCTTACGGGTGCACAGAAAATGACAAGATGGTTTATGAGGGCCATAAACTCTTGCACTGGGGTGCAGGTTACCTTACATTCATATGGGCTGAAGTCATACTACAAAGTATTCAGCAGACTGTGATTTCACTGCTCACTGCAAGGTTTTGTCTTCGCACAGTTTTATAACTAAGAAACATGGCAAAAAATGGCAATGAAGAACCCCAACAGTATTTGGGGTTAAAGATGTTGAAGTTTACCTCCATTCAATTTTTTATAATGTAAATCACCTTTTTCAGCATTTAGTTGCCTGTTATCATTCTTTAGGAACTGTTGTCATGGCCACATCATTCGTGTACTCCAGGAAATTCTGCTCACAAGAAACAGTAATACAAGACTAGCTCTGCTGCCAACTCTGTCTCAGTGTTCTCATCCACAGAAATATCAAAATCAGTAGATCAATTTCTTTACTATTTCAAACAGCTGTCTGGACATGTTAAACAGTTGTGTGATTTTCTAAATTTTGTAATATATATCAACAGGTGATTTATTACCCTTTGTATTGCAGCATGAAATGTTTTCTTTACCCAATCACATATTCTGTCAAATAGGGATTTTTATTTACAGCAGAACTGTATTTATTTCATTGTCAACTGAAACATATACATCAAGATTTTCAGTATTAAAAGACACTGTCAGCAACAGGACCTGATAATCGAGTTATGTGGGGGGAAGGAGGGAGGCACTCAAATGTTTGCACCTCACCTTATGTTAGGGACATAGTAGAGACAGTGTTCATGAACAGTAGAAGTCTTAAGATTTTTTCTTAAATTAAATATAAGAACACAAAGTTTCACCTCTTCAAGAACAGAGTTAGCTTCAAAAGCAGAGAAGTGTTCGTTTCAGGGAAAATAAAACAAACAGCTGAATAATTCCCTGAACTGAGATATATACTATGTATTGAGACAGTAATTTGATAGTAATTAAAATAAACTTTTTTTTTTTTTTTGCCAGTATGTGGAAGCAATGTAAAATACAAGGTTATTTCAGCTTTTGAATTAAACATAATATTGCTTTTAATCCGGCTCACTTTCCAACTCATACGTGATAAAGGGTACCCCAACTACCCCATAGAAAATCCATGATTTCAGACAGTCAAGCTGACTGGTACTGTTGAGTATCAACCAGGGAAACAAACAAGCAAAATAAAGCCAAACCCCAACAAATAAGTAACAATGTAATAGAAAAAAAAAATCTCCATCTCTAGGCACTAAAGCCTTTAACTTGACCAGAGCACATACACAACTCATAAAAAATAAAAAAGTTTCAAGGCAGTACCTCAAGTGCCTTTTCTAAAACTAGTGCCGATTACCTCATGTCTGTCAATAGTGTTTAGTTTTAAGTGCTTATTAAGCATCAAGCACTACGTATTCCCCAAGCAGAGCACTAACCAAACACCGTTTCTACATAAAACTCTGGATCTGGTTTCACTAACTACAAAACATCCAGCAGAATTTAACAGGTAAAATTGCTCCACAATCTGACAATTCCTATAACAACGGATTCCCTGCATTGCTTACCAAAAGGCATTCTGGAAAAATACTCTGAAAGGTAAGCACATGACAGCTCCTGAAGCACAGCTCTACCATGGAAAGCAACACTTACTACATATATATTCAATCACATCCTTGCTCCCAAAATAACAACAGCTTTAGAATTTGATATTATTTATTTCTGCTAGCAAGTGGGAGTCAATTCAATAATTAGACAGGAAGCCAGACTACTGTGGTTCATGCATCAATGATATTGATGCAACCAAATTGTCCTTCTATTTCTTCATTTACTTTTCAATTTGCCTCTAATGGAAATAGGGACATAATTTAAGGTCCAGGGACTTGTACACAAAAGATAAAGGCAAAAATTAAGTTCAAAGAACTGTAAACCATGATGTAAAATCCAGAAGAGAAAACAATTACATTTCCCAGTACAAACTGAGTTATGTGACTAATAGGTAGTAAATCTTACATTTACCTTGTAAAATAAACCGATCTGAAACAAAACTGATGAGACAAACACATTACATTTATGTCCTCCTTTTTTTAGGAAGAAAGCACTCATTTTAACTTCAAATATATGTTAGTATCGCACTGAAAACAAAATAGAACCCAAATTGCTCTTCTCATGTTTGCTGCCTTTATGCTCTACAGTAGAGGGATTTTACAAATGCTATGAAATTAACAATGTGGTAGCTCACTGGTGAGCTCAAGAGTTTGAGCACTTAACTGCTTTACATAAAATTGTGTGAGGCTGAAGTACTCTTCTCTCCAACCCTCCACTTATGTTCAACAGTATGCTAGACAAATCACTTTTTTTTTTTTTTAATAGTGCTCAGAGGTATTTGGAGAACAATCTCTACTTTCTAAAACATGCTAAAATGTAATAACACAGTGCTACTTAAAAATACGCAATAAATGAAGCGGCAAGCCCCGCAATGATCAAACCTAGAGCTACAAACTTTTCCATACCTCATGCTAACCAAAACTACAGCCAAATATACACAAGTTATGTCAATAATGTCTTGTCTCAAGATGTTTACTAATGAGAAATTCCTGTGTGTCATTAAATATAAAAAAAGATTCTTCTATTCTAGAACAGAAAAAAACAGATGTGATCCATTAACATAGAAATTTTACTCTAAAAATTCTCATGTAGCTTGAATTTCAGGATTTTCTAGATCAGGCACAAAAATGAGCACAGTCTTCTGTTAGAAGTTAAGCTACACAGCCTCATCCAGTGAGCTTCAGTAGAAATTTTGTTCTAGCTAGCTTCTTTTGTTAATTAGCCTTTTCCTTTAAAAATATAATTAAAAATAGACAAATGGGCATTCCATTTCTGAAGTTGTAACCAGACTATTCCACGAGAGCAGCACAAGTAGAGATAGTACTTCTATCCTTACCCCACCCCCTTACCCCCAGAGATCTTATTGCACACCAGGAACACTCAGGAATATGGGGTGAGCTGGGAGATGGGCTCTGGTGGAATGCAGAGAAGGCTCTCCTGAGCATTATTCATCTGCTTAATGCTGTTTTACAGGCAAACTGTAAGAGCATTCACCTTCGATCTGGCTTTGAGAGCTTCTGTATCTAGTGCTTAGGTGACAGCTTAGCCTACTTTCAATCAAGAAAGTATTTTTGTGTTCGACATACAAGACTCCAGCTCTTTATAATTGGAAACCAGTGTTTGAACTTCTGGCCTTCCAGGCACACTTAAACAACACAGGGGACCAGAGCTGTAACAGTTCATGTAGTACTCTCTGATGTAAGAGGGAATTAAGCAGAAGCCTTTCTTAATGACAGTCTGCTCACTTGAAAGTGAAAAAGGCAAACAGACCCAGCTGTACAACTTCTTCAAAGGCAAAGAGCTGAACTGTTTGCAACCAGCATCTCCTCCTTTCCAACTCCCACCCCCAAAACAGGGCTCTAGCTCAGGTAATCAGTAAAAGTATTTGCACACAGCAGTTTTCTACTCACTGAACCCAGGTTCATCAACAAAAATGCTGGGTTTTTTTTTCAATGACTTTCTTATTTGAAAATCCATTGCACAGGTTTCATCTCGTGCACTCTTACAATATCACAATGAAGGATTGTCAGCAACCTACTCAGTCAAAGAAGGGAGAAAATAAAGAGACCCCAGCTGAATGGATATACATACCCAGTTTTAGGGCAGAAGGAGTCACTTCAATCTCACCAATGGGCTGAAAGGCTGCCAGCTGAGTTGCCACCTCTGTCTCAAAAGAGTCTGGGCTGTTTCTGTCTGTCAAATTGCCATTGGTGCCATCAGTCTTATGGTGAGTTTCTTGTTCGTCATAAACAGCAATCAGCTATCAAAACAAAAGATAATACAGTTTGTATATTTTAAGTATTCCCAGTCTTCACTCTTAAAAAAAAAACCAAACAAACACAAACTTATCCTTCTTTTTGAGTACAAAAATAATAAAGTTATTTCAAAACAGCTAACAACAAACATACAGATTCCAAAAAGCATGCACTTTTATGTTTAGACACCAATATGATTTCAATATAACTTGAGTATATACTTCAGCACCGCCCTGTGCTGACATGCATCTCTCAGAGTTAGCATGCTACCATTAGTGAGCATTTTACATTATTCCAAAACACTTCCAGATGAACATGCTTAAAAACACAGAAGAGCATTTAATTCTTGGGGGGAGAGTGTGTTATCATTCTAAAAAAATTTAGTGCTACTGACTGATAGGCTGCACAAAGGTAGCACAACCACAGAAGCTGTACTAAGAGAGCAGATGCACATTTTATTTGTAAGAACATAATAATTACGTTCCAAGGACAAGATACATCCAGCACAATGACAGAGTGTGAAGTCTCTCTAGTTGTCCAACCTGCACCTCGGCAAGGATGGGTTTCTTGGTCCAGCTATGTACACATACACCTGCACTTCTCTACCCACAACACATCTATCACTCCCTCCCACTCTCTCCTGCAAGCTTACACCAGGTACACTGTTTCTGAAAACTGTCCCTCAGTCCCTGACTCTTCCACCACTTCAGAAACACAGGAAGGACAAGAGCAATGGCAGACTGCAAAGTCTTATGTCCAAGCTCACACTAATGTGGACATGAAAATGATAAAAATCACCAGAATCATTACTTTTTGCCTCAGCTAACCTGGCCTTTCCTAAGGATCTTCCTTTTAGTTCCTACTGATACAAAGTGATCAGACCATGTGTATGCAGTTTCATCAGGAAGGGACTCACATACATATGGCTGGGTGTATATTGTGTTACAGTTCCAGGAAAACACTTAAGTGTGTAACAGCTCTGGGAAAACAAAACCAAAAATTATTAATTCCCTATGAATCTAAACCAAGTAGAAGACATGCTGTTCTCAACCAACAGGACACTTGGCACCCCAGAGCCCTCTCCAAAACCAGGGTGCTAAGAGCAACATTCTTCCTACGCCATCACCTGATATGACATAGTTCTTGTGCCTAATAATCACTGTACATGATATTTTTTCATCCTAAGGTGCTCATTTATTTTACTTTTTCTGAACTCCTTCAGATTATTTTAATATTTTTCTCCACTAATCATGAAAAATTCCACAACACAAAAAAACTGTATAGGCAGTGTCAAGATATACACAGAAACAAATTTAAAGGATTGATTTACTCCTTTTTATCTCTGTGTTATTTTAAGGTATTCATACACATGCTTTCTATAAAAATATTAGTACATCAAATCTCCTCTGACACTTCCAAGAAGTGTCAACAATTATAGCCTATGAAAAACAGTATACTGAAACACACAGACAAACGTTTAAATAAACTCATTTGCCCAAGGGAAGAAATGAATGTACGAGAGGGAAAAGAAAAGAAAAATCCTGAAGTGCTTCTAAGGAAGAAACTGACATTTTCAGGTCTTCCACTCATTTATAATTTGGTTGCTAGAAATGTGTCAGCTCATATTTACCAATGCACATTTCAGAGACACACAGAACCCCTTAAATAATTACGTAGAAAACTTGCTCTCTTTTTCCATATGGAGCCTGTTTCCTTTCCATGGCCATACAACTAGCTTCTACAACATACAATTTGATTTTTATTTGTCCAAAGCATACGGGAAAGACTAATTCCAGTAACAAGAACAACTCTCTTTGTGCCTTAGTCCTGCATAACAGGGTAACTACCTAAGTGTTCCCTCTGCAGTCATCATCACCAGGCCATCATTATGCCCCACAGCTACATACAGCCTAAAAGTCTAACTGAGATCCAGACACCAACAGATCACAGTGATTTTTTTCTTCAGTACCAGGAAAAAAAAAAAAAACCAAACAAAAACAAACCTACCCTATGATGTCTTTCATTTGTTTCTGAAATGAAAATTCATGTTATTATGGAAGTCCATCCTGATTCACTAAGTTCCACAACCATTGTCCACCCAACTACTTGCTTTCTCTGCCTCACTTTTGCTGAGGAAATTTAATTTCTAAGAAAGAGGCTGTTACTAATGAAGAGGAAACTGGAGATTTTTGTAGGACCCTGGCACTGAAAGCACTTTAGGTAGTAGCAGGATACAAAGTTCACTTGAGCATTCACAATGTAAAACAGCATAAATGGAGCTCAGTTGTGATTTGATGGGAACAAACAACTGAATTCCTCAACTAACTCGAGTTTCCCCTTGGTTTCACGCCCTAGCATATTAAATGCTGCATTACATTGGAATATGCTTACTGCCCCAGGATGTTGCAAAGATGGAAAGGAGTAACTAGTTTAAAAAAAAAAAAAAAATCAGCAAGAACTGCTAAATGGAAACATGCAAGCACTACCTCAGCCTCAGAAGTCCCCAAAACATGTAGCAGTAAAAATCAAAAAGGCAAACCAGGAGAAACTGATGATATAAGCATCCTATTTCTGTGCACTTTCTGAGAGTATCTTCCATGGGGCACAGGCAGAGACCAGAGCAGCAGTGTGGCCCCACACTGCCCCCCTGCAGGCTCACCTACCATGGGATACTATTGCATACTGCAGTTTCTAATCGCTGTACCTTTCTGTAGACCCCCCCTAGTTCGAATGAATCCTTAGCAAAAATGATAATATAAAATGATTTTGACAGGCAACTCAGGTCTCAGGTTCCTGACAGCTGTAAGGTATGGCAGCTTACCTACCGGTCAGCCCCAAGAGGCCGACTGCGTCATGGCCACACCACAGCCACTTCCCTGGATCCCTGGCATGGCTGCTCCTCACCTTGGTGCATCCCACCACCTTCCCCAGGCCTGGTGGTCACATCCCCACTGCTCCTTTCCAAGGGCCCCTAAGGTAGAGCAGGGACAAGAGTGGCCGCTGGCCCTGAGGGAGGGAGGAGTCCTGAGGGAGGGAGGAGTCCTGAGGGAGGGAGGAGTCCTGAGGGAGGGAGGAGTCCTGCATTTGAAGGCCCCGCCCCACACGGGACTCAGGGCATTAGTGGGCACCCACCCAACCTGCAGAGGGCCCAGGTTAAAATAAAGTTTCAATTGCAACAACAATATCCTCTTTTCAGAGAGGTCCCTGGAGCACATGCCCTAGTGTTGGGTGACACTGCTCAAGAGCTAACAGGCTACAAGTCAAACACCTGCCTTGACACCTGGTCACAAAGTGGGTTCAGGCAAACTGAGGGGCAGAAATCACACTGCCCAAAAGAGGATAAGATGATTGGGTCTTCTCCTGCCTAATTATACGGAAGGATTGCAAGTGGTTTGATGATTGTGGCAGCTCTGCAGCTTAAAGTACTGTCACATTCACTGATGAAGAAGGTTCAGTGGATGGAGATCCACCGGCTCCTCTCCTCCTGCAGCAGAGGCACGAGAAGACGACACCTCTGCCACTGCTCCCCTTCCCAACTGTACCCACACCAGCGATCCATTTCCACACTCCAAGCCGGAGCAGAGAGGGCACAGGTTCAAGTCAACATCTGCAATACAGCCTGGCAAAGGCCAGGAAGAAGAGTTCATCTGAGCCAGACCACGTAGGCCTGACACCCACTTGACAGCAGGTAAGTCTCTTACTGCTGTCATTCTGTGAGCAACTCCTCTGAGAAGCCGCAGTTGCCTAGCCTACACCCAGGCACTATTTTGACAGATTACAAAACCCAAGGAAAATGTATTTCTTCATAGTATGGAACACACCAGTAATTAAGTAACATGATCTAGAGTTTTTTGCAGAGTGTGGAAGGGAGATGCTACAGTACTGCATATGGAGGTAGCAAAGGTGCAATGCCTTTCTTCTCCAATGAAATAAACAGCCATTTGTTTTGCAAAATGTTTATTTGGGTCATAACTCCTCAGGACTGCAATTTCAGGAGTATCTTATCAGTAGCAAATCTAACATAAATACACTGCTAATCAATCAAAGTATTATAAATATCTGCTTCAGCCTTTCAAAGAGAATGAAAACCATTAAGGTTATGCAAATCAACTACTCAAAAATAATTGTCATAATTGACTTCTCATTTCCAGTATGGAAAATTCTTTAATTGGAACAGACTGCCAAACTCTTCTGATTGAAAAGAATTTCAGGATGCATTAAGAAACCCCCACAAACATATCATGAAAACAGCAATACTAGTTTATTCTTTACCAGTTCAATATTTACAAATACTGAGAGTTCAGAAGGTCAGCTGATTTTTTGAGTTTTTTTTTTTTCAAACACACCAAAATACTACTGTAGATATTTGTAAACTGTGTAAGTTATGCAGTTTTGTACACTTGCTTTAGTCCGGCATCTCCTTTTTTAGAGCTTATTAAAAGAACATGAATATTTACTGTGAAAGACATGTATGTATTTCCGTATAGGTGAAATGCTTCTACCTCAGTATTACTGCAATCTCTATTAACATCCCACCAGTTACCTAGAAAATCTAAATCAATACATTATCAAAATTTAGCACTTGTCTGTCATTTTTGATTACTAAACTCTTTCCTACCAATGCTGATGTAATCACAACACAAGGCAGCAATAATGAACACTTCTTCTTTATTAGCGTTTTTGTTGTTTGTAAGTGGCATCTTACTGCAAGGCACTGTAGTACAGCCAAATTTAAACTTTGCACGATGTCCTATGCCACAGCTCTTTCAGTAGTTTAATGATATTTCAATTGCAGAGCTTGCAGAAAAGTAAAACAAGATTATGAAAAATGTCTCTATTCCCAAACAGAGAGAGCAAGACACGCATTCCATTAAGATCAACCCTCATAAACAAAAAGGTGGGTAAATACTAATAGCAGACAATGATGTTACTGACTGAAAGGGACTGAGCACAAGGCAGCAGTGTGTTTTACCCTGGGGAACTACTGCATTTACTGTACTAAAAA